TGTGATGTGCCCAGTGTGGGTAGTCCGGGCAATCCAAGCCAGGACTGCTTTGCAAGCGGGGCACCCCTGAGAACTGTCTGTCCGGGGTGGGGGTCGGGACCCTTTAAGCACAGCCCTCGGCTAGCCTGAGACAGCATCTCCACTCTCTAAGTCCTCCTCTGATGCTCTGCCGGCACTGCTTCCGGCCATCCTTAAGCCCGTTTCAGGGTCCACTTAATGTGGACATGCTAGTTCGAATTAGCAAAATGCTAATTCGAACTAGTTTTTTAGTCTGGATCCGTTAGTTCGAATTAACTAATTCGAACTAAGTTAGTTCGAATTAACATTGTAGTGTAGACATACCCCTAGGGACTCTATATGGCCTAATAACTCTGGGAAACCACCTAGTAACTAGGTCCAAAATTAAATTCTTGTCTGTTACCTTTCACAGGTACTCCACCTCTGCGTTCTCCAGGCTGCAGAGGGTGGGTATCAGGCATCCTACACCTTTGCCTTTCATCGGAAACCTGCTGTTCTTTCAACAGGTAAGAAAGGAATTGTTTGGTATCTATCCAAAAATGGTTTAAAAGAGCACGGGAGATGGGGAGAGGGTGGCAGAGATTGATCTTGTAGCTATTGATTGCTGCTCTTTGACCAGATTCGTATGGAAAGAATAAGGAAAACTCTCACCTTTGTGACCAAAAGGAACATAGCAAGCAGCCGCCTTTAAGTGTCGCTGATTTAAGGACTAAATTAACCAGATGGAAAGAAAGGGTGTAAGCTTCTGAAGCTAATTACTTGAGCTTTTCCAGGAAAGTTCATGCCCTTGGTGGAGCAAGCTTGGTTATGTGAATAGAACAGATTATATTAACTAGATCTGACTGGTTTGTTCTGAGCTGTTTCAGTTTTTACAGCCCTTTGTTGCTGAATTCACATGTTTATTTCAAAGCATGTAACTTTGTCTACTCCCAATGAAGCAACTGAAGTTAGATACCATTAAATAATACTCATCCCAGCACCAGTTTTAAGGTCTTTTTTGTTTTGAGCATTTTTTTTTGTTTTAGTTTAGGTTTTGTTTTGTTTTGCTCACGTTACACAAAAGAACAGCTTCATCAATAGAAACGTTTTTGTTTTATGGTCTGATTTCAATAAAGCTCCCAAAGACCCAGTCTCTCAATCTGAGTTTCAGTGAAGCACCATCATTTCTCAGGTATGGAGTCCTAAAGTTTCTCCCTTTCCCATCAGTATTTTCCAGGTTGGTTTTCAAGATTCCAAAGCACTTTGTGAAAGGAATCTGGAATAACTCCAGAGTTCAGACCATATTTGCCCATCAAAAGAGCCAAAAAAGGTTTAATGTCCAAGATTGTCTGTGAGATGTTAATAAGAGTGTAGAGCCTGTTCCTTTTGCATGCCCAGTATCTGATTCATTATTTGGTATGCCATTTTGAAGTACCTGGAGTATTAATGTAAATGGTCATTTTCACTTGTGCGCTCGGTTTCATCCAGGAGAGAATTTAAAAGGCTGAATCACCTTAACAAGGACTGGAAGGCAGTAACGAGACATGCAGCGGGTCAGCTTTTGCACTGTTATTTGAAGCCAGCCTGGAAACTGAAAGTAACTAATCTTGTGTCTCTTGAATGACAAAGCACAATCCGTCTTTTGGCTGGCACAACAGCCTGACTGAGAACGGAATTACCTTCTTACACCTATAGGGAGTGGCTCTTAACCAGGGCTGAGGCACTGAAGAGAGTACTGTGGGGAAATTTTCACTGCTGTTACTTGTGCTTGTATCTAGACAACTTTTGTTTAACCTGGTTTATTTTATGTACATTAAATTAACGTGAAACAATACAACAAAGAGAAAACACCTGCTATTTTACAGGGTCTTTTAGAAACAAAACCATTGAGAACGGATGTGCAATTACAGCTTTATGTTCACACGAGTAGTTAGAAATAAGAATTCTCGGAATTTTTAACTGTGCTGAAGTGTCTTAAGAGAGCAAGTCTCATGGATTTGCAGTCTTAAATCATTTAGGCTCTTTTGAAAATCCTGTCCTCTGTTCGACTGTGGGGTGGGCATGATCAGTTCTATTGCTGTCAGTGGGAGCTAGGCCCATGTAGCATTTAGTCCAGGTGCTTTGTAATTTGTTTTTCTCCCCTGATATGTTCTTCTATATTTTCCTGTTCTGTTCCTTTGATTGCTTTCTCAGAAATAGTGCCCATAGCAACACATTGGTAAGAGGAAGATCATGTTTGTGCTGCAGACTGTTTTCTAATGGTAACGTTTTCATGTACACATGTATTGTAATGAACTCAAAAGAGGACATCTCCTCCTCTCTCAGTCGGAGATAACCGGAGGCGCAATGTTTCATCTTATTGGGAATTAGGAAGGACCTAGCTGCAAGGGCACAGCAGCAGTTTCGTAGTTGGGTTAGTTTCTAAGGACAGCTCACATGCAAGCAGTTGTAAAATGCTTGTACATCCTGTCCTCATGTATAGAACAGTAAAAACTCTTTGCACTTACATGTGAGATGCAATGATGTGATTGTGTAGAAGTGATATTATAAAGTCTTTCTTCTAAGCTTCTTCAAAAGACCAAGTCCTTCTCCCTGTCATCAGTACAGGCAGTCCCCGAGTTACGCTCCGCAGTTACGAACAGGGCCCTCCCTCTCCCTGGTCTCCAGCAGACCAGGGAGAGGAAGCAAAGCGGCGGAACACGCGGCAGCGGACAGGGCTGTCCGCTGCCCGCGTGCTCCGCGGCTTTGCTCTGCTTTGCTCCCCGTCCCCCTGGTCTGCAGACCAGTGGGACGGGGGGCAAAGCAGAGCCAAGCCACGGAGCCCGAGGGCAGCAGGACAGCCACGGCGCATCTGGG